TAGGAATTTTGATTTTGCCCCGGGGGGTCAAATGGGGTCGAAAAATGACATTTTCTATGCGAAAAGCCCTGTCTTCCCTGAACTCCTCTTACATTTTACACAGTAGCCTAATCATCTTTTGGGAGATGGTTTGTAGTGTCATGTAGATGTGCAGTAAGGTTTCGGAATTTTGATTTTGCCCCGGGGGGTCAAATTGGGGTCGAAAAATGACGTTTTTTATGCAAAAAGCCCCGTCTTCCCTGAACTCCTCTTACATTTTACACAGTAGGCTAATCATCTTTTGGGAGATGGTTGGTAGTGTCATGTAGATGTGCAGTAAGGTTTTGGAATGTTGATTTTGCCCCAGGGGGACTAATGGGGGTCGAAAAATGATGTTTTAAAAATGTCTTAAATGATTTCTTTAAAACTAAGCGAAATACAATTAAAAAAGGATAGAGGTCAAGGTCACAGGAATGTGCAAGGTGAAGTTTTTGATGCAGTTTAGTAGCTTCACTAATACATATCAGCATATAATGTTTGATAAAAATATCTTGAATTATTTAATGAAACTGAGTTTAACAGTTTTTCTAAAAAAAGAGAGGTCAAAGGAAAGGTTGGGGCCAAAATATTGTTGCAGTTGACAAGCTTCCATCAGTATGAATTTACTATCAGCATATGAAGTTTGATAAAACTATAATTAATGGTTTATTTAAAACTTAGATAAACACATATTTTAAAAAGTGAGGTCAAGGTCAAAGGAAAATTCAAGGTCAAAATAAGTTGATGTATTAATACCTCTCAGCAGTATGTATCAGCATATGGAGTTTGATAAATATATCTTGAATTGTTTATTCAAAACTGATCTAGACATTAATTTTAGAAAGGTGAGGTCAAGGTCACAGGAAAGGTCAAGGTAAAAAAGAGTGAAGCATTGTAAAGCTTACATCAGTATGTATCATCATGTGAAGACAGATGGAAGGGTGGAGGACGGACATGACAAAACTATACATGTATTCCTAATCATGGTGTGGCATAAAAAACTTGAATCTACATTATATGAGGATGTTTCCATCTATCAAGATTATACAAGCAAATTCAAAGAATTGTGGTCCTCTGCTTTCTGTGTTTTAGTGAATGGGATGCATAATTTATGGCAGATTGTGTGTCAAATGTGCACCCCTATCATATATCAATTTTTGAAAATTGGGTCAAAGGGGAAAAATCATAGCATGCTCTCAAACATTTTGTTGCAGGTAATGTACATGTCAAATATGAAAGTCCTATCTCTTTTGATTCAAAATTTATATATACAATATAATATTTTTGAAAAGTAGGTTAAACTTCTAGGTCAAGGTCACAGAGTCAAAAGTCATGATATATTTAGAAAAGTCTTTTCACATGTGTAATAAACATGTATAATTTGAATGCCCTTTCTTTTCTCTTTCAAAATGATCAATTTAAAATGTTATGTTTTGGAAAGTAGGTAAAACTTAAAGGTCAAGGTCTTACTTGGGTTAAAAAATCATAGTATATTTAGAAAGTTTTGTGGTAATGTACATGTGAAATATGAAAGCACTATCTCTTATTATTCAAAAGTTATGACCAAGGTTAAATTTATTGTGACAGATGCACATACTAGCTGTCAATAAGATGGACAGACTGACAGACAAATGAGATTTAATGTCCCCTCCCTTTCCCCAAAATGGGGGACAATAATGCCCTTGCTGTTCTTGAGAAGAAGATTTATGATGGAAAAAATCCCTGCATATTTCTTAACGCAAATCAATATTGTGTTCTCATGTCATTTTGTTTGTTGTTAAACATCCCTCTCAGGAATTTTTCACTCATATGGAGACACCACCACTTGAAAAATAATGAGGACAAATTAGATTTGAGGTCAACATTCATTTTTGGAGTTTTCAACCATTAAGACGTAAAGAAATATTAACTCGATCCTTTCCCTCACCCCTTCCCAGACCCCTGTTTGTTCATGTATGCAAACTACTACTTGTTTTTACATTTAAAAAAAAATGTTTATACAAATAGTTTAATGTGGTCCATCTCTGAATGATTTTCATTCCTAATTTTAGGAACATAGGTTGACACAAATTCATGAATAAAATGTCAAGTAATCTTATCATTGATGCACTTTTATTTAATTTAATGCAGTCATATTCAAATTGTGAACATTTCCAGCTCATTAGGAGAGTGGGGATGACCTCTAGGGGTTCATAACCTTTATACCATTAAATTTACATAACATAATAACACAAGTAACAAAATTATGTATAGTCAAATGAAAAAAGTTTCCTACTATTTAGGAGTCACATGATCATTTGTCAATAAAAATGACTTTGGATGCCAGTGTCCCTCCACCCTAGAAAACAGACCCAACCATAACTTTTTTTTTTTTGCTTCTCAGGAAATTCTGGTCTGGAACACCCCCCCCCCCCCACCTCCCTCCCAGAAAAAAAATTCCGGATCTTGTAACGTTGATAACGGGGGATAACTCTTCAGAATGTGAAATTCGTCTATTGTAGCATCGGATGACCTTTGATCCTTTAAACTTGAACCTAACGTTTGCATTTCAGACTATTTTACCTCAATCTATACCAAAACTTGTACTTACCGATTGTCATTATTTAGGCCTTGTCATCTTCATGAAATATAATCCAGTTAAAACACAAAATGAAATAATTCCTACTGACATATATGCAATGATGCACATTAGTAGCCTACTGCACGTGCAGTGAAATCTAAAATGATAATGCCAATGGTAAAACTAGTACTTAAGTTGGGTACGTGACGCAAGCCCAATGTGATGCAGGTGTTCAGATACATGTATAGTGCAAGAACAAATTGAAAATTATCATTTACAAAAGATGTTTTATTTTAACTTTGCCATCTAGGCCTATTTCCAAAAACAGGCAAATAAGGTGTGTTTGTGTGTGTGTGTGTGTTGATGGGACAAGGTTGACTAAATTGATTGTGTATATATATGGCAGCTTTCAAGAAGTTTCTGCCTAATCAAATATAAATAAACATTGCACATTTTGAAAAAATTCATCAAAAACGCTTTACACTAATTTGAATAATATTATATTTTGTTAATCTATATTAGAAAATAGATTTAAAAAGTTCCAATTACGTACAAGTAGAATTTTTAGCGAGGATTTAATTTTGGCATTATTAGCGAGGGTGCTGACATCGCTAAAATTGAATACCGCTGAAAATTAATTGCTTATTATCTGTAAAAGCTTCTTGAATTAGCATTTCAAAATCGCTAAAATTACTTCTCGCTAAAAATAAAATACCAGATTTTAGGTAGAAATCGCTTAATTTGCGTTTCGCTAAAATTTCCACTTATACAGTATGTGCCAAAAATTTATACACCCCCCCCCCCCTTTATCAAACCTAATTTACATTATTAATTTAATTCTGTTGTTTTATTTCCGACTGGTAATCAATTACGAATATGAAATACCAATAAAATGGAGTCCCATGGGTCACATGGTCACTAGCTGCAAATCTGTAGCGTTATGGTTTTATATATTAGTCTTTCACCATAAAGCTACAGATCCTGTAATGCAAAAAAGGTGCAATTTACGGCGCAATATTTTTTGCGCACTTCTGGGGAGAATTTCTCCACTTTCCAGCATCGGTTAATTTACTACCTTTCACTCCCTAATTCTAGGCACATTGTTTAACTAATCTGTATATTTTATCTATCTCCAATCCTTTTATAGTCGTCTCTACACGTGATAAACTCGCTTGATTAAAATTATTTGTTAGATTGCTGAAAATTCACATCAAGCGAGTTTATTGCCTGTAGAGATGACTATAAATGGCTGGGGGGTGGACAAAATATACATATTGGCTACAGAATGTGTCTAAAATTAGGGAGTGAAAGGTAGTTGATTGACCAATGCTAGAAAGTGGAGAAAAACTGCCCAATAGTGCGCAAAAAATATTGCGCCGTAAATTTCACCTTTTTTTGCATATGGGGATCTGTATATAGCGTTATGGTCAAAGACAAATATATAAAACCATAACGCTGCAGATATGCCGCTACATGGTCACCTGAGCATATTATGCTCAATTTGATGAATACATGTATTATGTAAATTATTGAATTATATTGACTTTTTCCTTGGTAAAGCCCAATATGAAGAAGTGTGCATTCAGAGGCAAACACCTTAGTGCGGGTATTACTGTCTCATGACAGCATCTAGTTTTAAATGTTTTAATCATGTCTCCTCTCATACGCCGGTATTTCAATGTTGGTAATTTAAGTGTCTTTAGTCGTTCTTCATAATTTTGATCTTTCAGTTGTGACAGCATTCTAGTTGCTCTTCTTTGTACATTCTCTGTGGTTTCAATATCCTTCTTTTTGTATGGTGACCATATACTACTCGCATATTCAATATGTGGTCTCACTAAAGCTTTGAATAATAAACAGAATGATTTATTATCAAGGTGAATAAATGCTCTTCTTATTAGGCCACAAATCTGGTTAGCTTTGTTCACTTGCGCTAAGATTGCTATTAATTGTTACTCCAATATCTTTTTCATTCTCCACATTCTCTAGTGTTGTATCACCTCCTTCATAATTTCTCATACTATACTGGATACTGTCACACGTTTTGCTACTGTTGTGTATTTGAATTACTTTGCATTTATCAGGGTGAAATTTTAAAAGCCAAGTTTTGCTCCACATGAAAAGTTTGTCCAGGTCAGATTGCCCTACTTTAATATCGTTTTCATCTGTGATTTCTTTGAATATTTTCGTGTCGTCTGCGAAGAGGGATACAACTGACTCAACACATTCTGGTAAGTCATTTATAAAAATCACAAACAGTACAGGTCCGAGCACAGATCCTTGTTGAATTCCATTTGTGACTTTGTGCCATTTCGATTTTTGTCCATTTACTTGTACACACTGCTTTCGTCCACTAAGGAAATGTTCGACCCATGTACATAGTCGTTCACATATCCCATAAACTCTCATCTTTGTCAGAAGTCTAAAGACTTGGAAACTTATCAAATGCTTTCATAAAATCCATATAAACTGCATTAAAAACGCCTCCTCTATCCAGGATTTCAGTCCATTTATCGAGTACTGTAATTAATTGTAAGGTTGTTGATCTCCCACTCAGGAATCCGAATTGCTTGTCACTAAATAAATCTAAGCTGTCCATATGCTTGATTATTCTCCTCCTAAAAATCTTCTCCATCATCTTGCATAGTATGCTTGTTAAGCTGACAGGTCTGTAGTTTGATGCCGACTTCTTGTCACCTTTCTTAAATAAAGCTGTAATTATGGCTACTTTCCAGCTATCTGGTACTATTCCTGTTTCTAGTGATTTCTTATAGATCAAATATAAAGGTCTATCAATTACTGCATTCAATTCATATAGAACTTTTGGGTGTGCCTTATCTGGTCCTGGGGACTAAGTAGTGTTTAGATCATGAAGTAATTTCTTCACCTCTTCTTGAGTAATCGGCTCATCATCAGTTGACCTTGTATTTTCAATTGTTATATCAACTAGTGGTAAAGAGTTCACATCTTCTTCTGTAAAAACACTACTAAAAAAGTTCGCCAACACTTCTGCCTTGTCCTGATCCTTACTTGCCACAAATGTCCCTTTGGATGTTTTTTCGTGCAATTCTGAAACACCACTTTTGCTCTTCCTTTTGGAGTTAACATACTTCCAGAAGTTTTTATTGTTAGTCTTTGCCGATTCTGCTACTTGTCTCTCTTTCTCCTTCCTTTCTTTGCGAGTTAATCTCTTGACTTTGTTTCGGGCTTTACAATATTCTCTATGCTTTTCTTTGCTTCGGTCTTCCATGTATCTCTCCCATAGTCTGTGTTTTCTTTTTATGCTCCTGACTGTTTTTTGCTCAGTGGAATGTTTCCCTTTGTGTTTCTAGGTTTGCTTTTGGGGATAAACTTTTTTACTGCATTATCAAATCTGTTCATAAACTTTTCCAACATAGTGTTTACATCATCACCTTCCATAATATAATCCCAATCGAAGTCTAACTCTTTGCGCATTCCTTCATAATTTTCTTTATAATAGTTCAATCTCTCACAGTTGGTATTTTCATACTTGAAGTAGAAACTATATTTGAATTTTATCACACTGTGGTCACTAGATCCTAATGAGTCTAAGTATTCTATATCACCCAAGTTGTTACAGTCATTCACTAGTATAAGTTCCAATAAAGAGCTTTCCTGACCGTGTCTGTGTCGGGTATTTTTATTTATCACCTGATGCAGGTAATTGTCTCTGATACATTCCAGAAATTCTGCACAGTTGTCATCTCTTGTACTCCAAGACCAATCGATGTCTGGAAAGTTAAAATCTCCCAAAATAAGGAGATGTGAAAATTTAAGGTCACAGGCTTTGCCTGTTAGTTCATTCAATGCCTTTATATTGAGTTCCGATGAAGATGGGCTTTTGTAAATGCATCCTATTAATAATTTTTCATTTCCATCTAAGTTGATCTTAATCCAGGTACATTCACTAAAGTCGGAGTCCAAATGTATTTCAACAGCATTTAGGCTTTTTTTTGCGTAAATTATAGTTCCACGTTTTGCTCCTGTAGGAAAATTTCCAGGAAATAGTTCATCATCCGGCAAATCAAGTTCTGCTTTGTTGACAGCATATCTCATGTTTTTAGGTATAACTTCAGTCACTGAAATAATATCTGGTAATTCACTTACTGTTAGGAACCTATTCTTCAATTCGTCCAACTTGTTTAAAATGCTATCGGCATTTGTATAAATACACTTCAGATTTTCCGTTGTCCCTTTAAAATCTTGACCAACGCGTCTTTTTAACGTATTTACACAGCTATTTACATTAGCATTTACTTTGTCTTTTAGTCTCCCTGTTTTCACAATCTTTCTCTCCAATGTGGACCTTTTACAATAAACTTCACTTTTCCCGATTTTCCCTTTTCGTTTAAAGCTTTTGCTTCGAGCACCTTTTCCCTGTTTTTGTCCCTCTCAGCTTTTGACATGTCATGTGTAACACTCAACTTTCTAAGCTTACTTTGTGCTGGGATGTTTTTTAGCTTCGACAAATTTCTCATGACGTTTTGTTTGCTCTCAACATTCATCAATGTTACCTTGACTGGTCTTGCTAAGAATGCCTCCCCTGATGACTCACTATCCTCTGGTGTCTTCTTTTTACCAAGACGAACCACATTCTTTATACTGACTGGATCTACTTCAATGGCCTTGAATAAATCAATCAATACATTTGTATCAAATTCTTTTCCTTCAAAAGGTTCTTTCCCCTCAGACTCCTCTATGCCATGTATGATAATGTTTTTTCTCTCACTGCACTGTCTCTTAGCTCAGTCACCTTACTAATTAGTGACTCCTCGATGGCTTCACTACTTTTGCTTGTCATTTCTGTATGTTCCTGGGGGGATAAAACTTCAGCAGTCATGCTCTCCACTTTAGAAACGCTGGGTTTCTCCTGCATATCTGTCTCTATTTTCATCATTCGATCCTCCATAATTTTGAAAAATGTTTTGCATCTTGCTTCAATTTCTTGATCTACCCGTAAGTTTTTCATCACTTTTCGTTTCACAATTCGGACAGAACCAGTGTAGCGCTGGATTGTTAAAGCTGTCATACTCCTTATCAGAGAGTTCCAGACACGTAATAATAATAATGCTTGTTACAGTACTCACATTGTACCACTTTGTCATCATCTTTCATGAATATCTGTGTACACACTTCACATTTCCAGTTTTCCTTTCCTTTCTTGGATCCTTTACCTTTATTTGCTGATGAAGAAGATGATCTTTGTTTCTTTACTTCTTCTGCACCGTCCTTATTTGTGAATGACATTTTCTATTTATAAATTTTGCGCCAAAGTGTCACAAAGGATTTCTTTATCTCTATGACGTACCTCTAGAAATTTTCCTAAGATGGTGGCCGTGAGTTATATACTCATTTTAGATGTTCCCTAATCAAAAACATACATCTAATTTATGCTCTAAACCACTGCAAATTCACTAAATAAGTTCCCTTAAATTTTTTTTGCGCGTCCATTCGACCGGAACCGGAAGTCCTTTTTTTGTGATAAACTATATCACATATTATTTTTTTTAATCTTCAATAAATGAAATCACCATAATAAAAAAAGTATGAATATTGAAATTAAAAAATACAGAATCCATTTATCCGTCGTGATGTGAACAATTACCACGATCGGAATTTATTTATTTATTTTTTAAATTTCTGGCCAACAATTTTCAAAAAATTTAATATTTTCGATTGTTCGTGTGTTAACAAAATTTTATCGTTAAAAAGATGTCTCCTCAGAATCGATCACTAATAATTATCTTCACCTTTACATTAATATAGACAGACGCTAGAGGAAATTCGAGCATTAATTCTGACATAAATTTCTGTACTACTTCGTGCAGATTGTAGCCTTTGTATATGATAAAACATCTTTTGTAAACTATATGCCGTTAATGCTGAATATTTTTCTTTTATCCCATTTCATAAAAAATAATTTTAATCGTCGGACGTCCAATTACGGCAAATTGAGCCGGTTTCTGTGGACGGTCTTTTTTCTACAGGTATCGTGGACGATATAACACTTACAAGTAACAAACAGCAGTGAAGATAGAAAAGAAATATTTTATGATGTCAATGTTTTAATAATATACGTACTTTCAATTATTTTTTTGAAATAAAATTCAAACATATGGAGTTTTCTAACCCGCAGGTATACAAGGCGGGTACATGAAAGAGTTTGGCGCGCGACAAGGCAATTGCCTTCGAAAACATGCAAACTCAGATTATCAGGTAGCACAGGTAGCTGATCTGTCAATCAAATCAGAAGCTATTGTTTTTTTAATGATTGACAGGCGGTAAATTATTGATCTTGAATCAGGTAGATTTTGGGGGCGTTAACATAAAATTGGATGTTTAAGAATTTGTATTTTATTGATTATTCGAAACAATTACTGTAAGTATAACACCTTTCAATCATTCAAACTATTGCATTTTTATACTTTTTGTAACAATCAGCATATTTTCTACATTGTTTGATTACATATTCAAGCGTAGTACATGTGCACTAATATGCAAGTGTGATAACTATATTTTGTATGTTTCTAGTTTCATCCAATGAGTAAAATTCAAGGCTCAAACATTTCATATTTCTGATTCAAAATTAATCTTATAACTTTTGTTTCATTTGTCCATTGAGATTGAACATTTGAAATAATTCATAAATTTTTATTTAATATCTTTGTTTATCAAACATCCTGTTGTCTTCATAAATGTTTACCTCATCATGGTCAAGCGAGTTCACCACTTTAGTTAATTTTCCCCACCTTTGTAGATTATTTTGTAGAGTATTTGTTCATTTGTTTTTATATGATATTATGTGCACATGAGAATCATTGGTTTTATGTAATGTGGTCACTAAACATCTTAACTCTAAGGTATTGTTGCACAGTGTTTTCCAAGTGCAAAGACTCATTGTTTTATTACTTATGTTTTTATATGTCACATTATATCGTCACTTTTTGCTGGAAACTCATCAATAAACGACGTAAACTTTATTCAGAGCCTTGGTCACCTTTTTCAGAGTTATCACCCATGACAACGCAAAAATCTTGGTGATATATAAATAAATAAATACAAATTGGGTGGTTTTCAGAACACTTTAATATAAATTATTAATTTAGATATACAATTAATTTTGATTAGTATGCATGATATTTGGTATAGTATTTAACCAAAATTTCGTTCTCTCTGCCTCGTACTTATTTAGGGATGTCAGATTAGCGTAGTTGAGTTGTAGATAGGTTTGCATGCTAGGATCAAACTGGGGCCATTTTGGAAGTCCTGATCCGTTCGGGTCGCTGGAAAGTTAAACAAAAACACACTGTATTTACATCATAATATTATTCCTACAAACAAGTAGACAGAAAAATAGTTTTTTTATGTTTAAATGTTTTTATGTTTAAAAAAGAGCCAATCAGAATATTAAAAAGAATATTTGTATTGAAAACCCCACTCTTCATACACCCGATACTTTACAATTGCAAATACTGACGAAGAGCACATAGGTTGCCTTGTAAACACTAAACTTTTAATAACTTTAGTAAGATGGGAAAAAGCTTACCCTGTTTTGGCAAAATTAGTCCAAAGATCTTTCATTATTAAAGCCAGTTTAAATTCGTCTTCTGTAACATCTATGTGTCGATAATGAAGATCTTCTATTCCAAAGAGGAATGGTAGCTCTGATGCGTGTCCAGAACCTCTGTACCATGCAGGTCTTGGAGCACCGTAAGGCAATGGGGTCTTGTTGTTAAACAAATACTGAAATGTGTTTGTGGTTTTATAAGTTTTACTGTTGGAGTGAGCAAATAAAGATGAAAATGTCGGAGAAATAAAGAATAAGTCTGTATACATTTGGAGAACTTGTCTGCTTTGTTCATCAGGATCATTATTTACTTTATATTCTTCGCAAATAGCTTTGGAAACTTTGGCATTAGAGTCAAAATAAGTTCGCACAATGGCAGGAATGAAGTTATCACAAAAGAATTCCTGAGGGATCCCGGTGCTTATATTAAAGCCATATCTGTCCTGTTCTTCGGGGGTCATTGCTAAATATAACGACCCCTCCATATTACAATTACCAATGATCATGTCTAATGATTTAAAGAAAGCGAGTTCATCCGATGAAGGATTAGATAGAAGTTTAGATGGAAACTCATTGAATAAATCTCCGTCAATTACTGGTGCAAAGGGTATTTCAATAGTCAAGGAAGATATAAAGTAAGTTCCAAAGATATTTAAAACTTT